ACCACCCAAAAAAGAAGTACAAAAGAAACTCTGATTTCTTGGAGTTCTTTCTTGGCCCTATTTGAGGGAGTAGGCAGATCACCGGGACTATATGCTGGGAAAAGAGCATGCCAGCTACTACTCAGGAGGAAGAACCAACTCCACCAAAAGAGCACGTCATACCACGGGCCCACAACCAAGCTGTGCCACAGGTCTAAGAGGCTGAGAGGGAAGCAGCCTGCTGGACTCCTTTAGGCACCATCTGTCTAAAAAATAAATAAACAAGATCTTGGAAAGGAAAAATTACTTAACTCAGGAGACTAGCCTTAAGAGAGCTGAAGTACTTTTAAAACATGTTCATAAATTCTCATTGCTTTTGCCATAAATAGGGAAACTAACTCTTCTCCTTTTGAACATGGGCTAGTCTACAAAATTGTTTCTATCCAACACAATATGAGACGTAAGTGATCCTATATGCATCCCAAAGTTCACTCATAAGAAGACTGGAGGGGCTGGGAAGGTGGCTCAGTGGTAGAGTCTTGGCTTGCATGCATGAGGTCCTGGGTTTGATTCCTCAGCACCACATAAGCAGAAAAAGCTGGAGGTAGCACTGTGGCTCAAGTAGTAGAGCACTAGCCTTGAGCTGAAGAGCTGAAGAGCTGAGGGACAGCGCCCAGGGCTCAGACTTCAGGCCCCACGACCGACACAAAAAAAAGAAGACTGGATTGCTTTTGCGATGCTTCCTTTTGGGAGTCAGCTACCATGCTGTATACAGGCCCAGATCACATGGATAAGGTTACCTATTCTGGCCACCAGCCAGCTTCCATTGCTAGAATGTCTCCAGCCTCATCCATCATTTCTCAGCTGTGCATAAGCAAGCCTGAGTCAGAAATGACTAGTTGAGCCTAGTCAGCACCTAGAACCACAAGGGAAAACAGTAATACTGTGTATCACTACTTTGAGTGCCTGCTACACCACAATAACTAGAATATAAATTTCCAATTCATTTATCCTGTATAGCTATTACTCAAAACAAACAAAAAGCAAACCAATAGACTGAGCTAGAGGCTGCGGGGAAACGATGAGTCTCATCAAACAGTCTACCCTACCACACAGGACACAAATGGACACAGACACATGGGGTGCCACGGACTCTGGGCCTGACAGCTACTGGGTTCACCTCTTAGCGGTTAAAAGGAAAGGCATGGGCTTAATACATTCTCCAGAGCCGCCACAGCTCCTTGGCCTCTGTGAATCTTCTGCTGGACCCAGAATGAACGAAGCGGCATAGCTCATCATCAGTCCCCACCTGACCATGCTGAGAGGCCCTCTGAGAGGAAAAGGCCCCTCTCCTGTACACTAGCAGAAAGGTTGGACTCCTAGCTTTTCTTGCATCTGTTCTTCACCTATAATTATAAACACGTAGGGCTTTGGAATCTTTTCCTATCTAAATTCTCAAGCCTCTCATCAAACAAGCCTGAAATTCATTTGGAGGCTAATATGCTCCAAAATATGGAAGAATAAAATCTCACAATCCAGGAACTACAAATGAAAGCAAAGCACATAAGCCAAAAGGAAGCTATAATGAAGGAGGAAGCAGTGGGTGGAAAGTAGCTGCACCAACAGACTCCGTGGCCCAGGAGGACAAGTCTGACATCCTGGAGAGCCACTTCCCACCAGGCGCCCACAGCCCAATGCTCACCACATTCAGAAAGCAAGCCACCACCAAGCTGGCAATTGACGGTACCACTCTCCCATTGCTTCTCCCCAGGAATCTCAGAGTAGGCATTATATCCACCCACTTTTCAGGCTATTTTATACAAGTAGCAATTATGTCATGATTCTAAAAAAGAAAAAAAAAAACCCTCTCTCATTTTTATAAAGTATGTGGCATGAGATGGCCAGAGTGACAATGTTCTTAGTTGGTGATATTGTCAACTAGTTTAGACTCCACATCCAGGGAGCCTGTAATCCTTTGTAAAATCAGCCAGCTACAAACATGGTAAACTCAAAGAGAGGAAGCTGGGGCTCTGGGACCAGAGCTAGAAATTGGTTGTGATCTTATTCTTGGATTCTCCCTCAAACCAATAGAGTTGGCTAAGTGTCTCTAAGCCCCTGATTAAACAGAGAAGCAGTAGATTCTGGATCTTGCTCTCCAGTCACACTACATTTCTCTAGCTCTTTTTGCCTTTTAGTATCTTCAATTATTTCACATTTTCTCTCACCTCAAATCTCCAACACTTCATCTCTTACTCTTTCTTCTCAACCTATAACCCTACACTCTATTGGTGAAGCCATCACATCATGTATTGTCAGAGATAAAAATTAAAACAAGATACCACTCTATACATGTGGACCCATTGCAACAATGAGATGTACAGGTCATTATGTCGAAAATGAACTTTACAACTTTGGGTGGGCGGGGGGGGGGGGCTGGAGGGGATGGGAGATGGGAAGGGATGGGTAAAAAAAGAAAATTAAAAAAAACGTAACTTACTCATGTAAATGTAACCCCTCTGTACAGCATCTTTATAATAAAATAGATTTTTAAAAAAGATACTACTCTACACCTATTTTGCATACATATATACACCTGCATACATAATATGTACCCAAATCCAGAACTTTGACAATCCTAAATGCTTGCAAGAATGTAGAACAACAGACTAATTCACGGCTGGAAAGAATGAAAAATGGTGATCATTCTGAGAGAGAGAATATGGTAGCTTCTTATAAAACTCAACATTTGTCGGGTGCTGGTGGCACACACCTGTAATCCTAGCTACTCAGGAGGCTGAGATCTGAGGATTGCAGTTTGAAGCCAGCCCACACAGGAAAGTCTGTGAGACTATTTTTTTTTTTTTGTCAGTTGTGGGGCTTGAACTCTGGGCCTGGGCGCTGTCCCTCAGCTCTTCAGCTCAAGGCGAGCGCTCTACCACTTGAGCTACAGGGCCACTTCGGTTTTCTAGTGGTTTATTGGAGATAAGAGTTTCACAGACTTTCCTGCCCAGGCTGGCTTTGAACCAAGTTCCTCAAATCTCAGCCTCCTCAGTAGCTAGGATTATAGGCGTGAGCCACCAGCACCTGGCTTTGTGAGACTATTACACCAATAAACTACCCAAAAAAGCCAGAAGTGGTGCTGTGACTCAAGTGATAGAGCACTAGCCTTGAACAAAAGAAGTTCAGTGACAGTGGCCAGGCCCAGATTTCAAGCCCTAGAACCAGGAAAAAAACAAAACTAAACACTCATTCCATATAATCCACAATCACATGGCTTGCTATTTACCCAAAGGAGATGGAAACATGTTCACATGGAAACCTGGACATTTATTTTATACTGGTTGAAAATCTATAACCTGAAAATGTAAAACCCAAAAAGGTCCAAAAGCCAAAATATCTTGAATTTTATCATGGTACCATCAGTGGAAACTTACATGCCATAAAAATTTGTCTCATAAATAGCATTATTTAAAATATTGATAAAATTACCTCAACTTTGTACAACTACTCAAAAATAAAAATATATTTAAAAATTACCTTCAAGCTATATGTATAAAGTATATATGAGAAATAAATGAATTTTGTGTTTAGTGCTTAGCTATCTCCTTATATATAAGCAAGTATTCCAGAATCTAAAATATGAAATACTTCTGGCCCAAAGCATTTGGAAAAGAAATCTTCAAAGTTCATATTTGCAATCTGTTCTCCACTGGATGGTATTCTGAATTGGACCTCTGGAAAGTAAACTTAGCCATGAGGGTAGAGCCTTCAAGAATGGGGTAAGTGGGGCTGGGAAGGTGGCTCAGCGGTAGAGTGCTTGCCTTGCATGCATGAGGCCCTGGGTTTGATTCCTCAGTACCACATAAGCAGAAAAAGCTGGAAGTGGTGCTATGGCTTAAGTGGTATAGTGCTAGCCTTGAGCTGAAGAGCTGAGGGACAGTGCCCAGGCCCAGAGTTCAGGTCCCATGACTGACAGAAAAAAAAAGAATGGGATAAGTGACCTTTCAGAGGCCAATGTGCCAATGCAAGAAGAACCTGCAAATGGAGGGACAAAGGGTAAATAAATGCAACAATGGTATTCGCGGGACACCACGTTGAAAATGAATTTTACAACTTGTGGGTGGGGATAGGAGGGAAAAACTTGGAAAGAACAGGGGAAGTGGTAACAACAACAACAACAAAAAGTACCTGCAGCCTGGAGGAGGAACCTCATTGCAATCTGACTGTTAGCATCTTATCTTGGACTTCCGGCCTCCAGGACCGTGAAAGATAAATGTTGTTTATACTACCCAGTCCATGGTAATTTGTTTTAGTATGAACTAAGACAATTGACAAAACTTGGAAGCAAGTAGATGCCCTTTGATAGTTGAGTGGATAAACAAACTGTGGTATATTTAAACTATGGAATATATGTTAGTCATGTTCATCACTGTGACAGAATACCTAAGCAAAATAACTCAAGCCAGGGAATGTTTATTTTGTGTCATGGTTGCAGAGTTTTAGTCCATCATGGTAGGGAGGCTGAGGCAGAGCATCTATATAATGGCAACTAAGAAGGAGAGAAAAGAGTAAAAAGAGAGAACAGAAAAGGAGAAGGGGGGAGAAAAGGAGAGAGAGAGAGAGAGACAGAGACAGACAGAGACAGAGAGAATATGTCTATGCTAGTGGGTTCTCCTCTTTTTCCATTCTATTCCATCTGGGTCTCTAGCCCATTGGACGGTGCACCCTACATTCAGGTCAGGTCTTATCACTGCAATTAATCCTCTCTAGAAACACCTTCACGGACCCCAAAATGTCACTCACATATTTGGGTTCTCTACAGTAGATCTACCTTTTCACTTGAATGACATCAGAATATACTCTTAGAATGCTCTTAGAACTCTCAGGGAGCTGGACAAAAACAAACTATGCACTGGACCCAAATGAAAAAAAATTTTTAAAAAAGCATAGTGCCTAGGTCCGAAGTTGCACAATTCTAGAGTCCACTTTTAAAGACTGGTCTTAGGAATAAAGCCACATACCTAGAAGCATCAAGGAATGGTCTATAGGCCAGGCTGATCCACTCTTCTTTATTGGATGCATATTTTGGTTCCCGGGGTGTTTCTGTCATGGTATCCAAATCCACCAAATAATGACATTTATTGATGTCAATCTGAAATGAAAAAGAAAACTCTCCATCGGTAACTGTCAAGATCCCTGCATGGTAATAGACATTAATTGCGATTTCAAGAATTTCACAAGGTTTTAAAGGAACAAATATACCAGTCCTCTGACAAGGATACCAGTACTTTCTCCATTCTGATAAGACATCAAGATTTAAGGCTCATGGAGGGCAAACACTTGCTCAAACAAAAAGGCCTGCAAGTTCTGAGTGATCTCATTCTTGTTTGGGTACAGTCCCTCTACTCCCACAGACATTCATGCAGCCCAAAGCTGTGCCCACAACTGACCCCTGCAAAATCTGCCTTCTGCTCACCATTGCCCACTTCCAGCGTATCATCCTTTACTCCAGAGACTGAAAGGGCATGACTACATACAACCTCACTCCACACACTAAAGTCTCTTTCAGATAAACTATACACATAAACACAAAATTATAAACCTCTTGGCAAAAAATATATAGCATCTTCCAGAGCTTAGGGCAGAGGACAAGACCCAACATTAACTATAAAAAAGAAATGCAGCCAGGCGCTGGTGGCTCACCCCTGTCATCTTAGCTACTCAGGAGGCTGAGATCTGAGGATCACGGTTCAAAGTCTGCATGGGCAGAAAAGTCCCTGAGACTCTTATCTCTAATTAACCACCAGAAAACCAGAAGTGGTACTGTGGTTCAAGTGGTAAAACACTAGTCTTGAGCTGAAGAGCTGAAGGACAGCACCTAGGCTAGAGTTCAAGTCCCATGACCAACCAAAAAAGAAAGAAAGAAAGAAAGAGAGAGAGAAAGAGAGAGAGAGGGAAGGAGGGGAAGGGAGGGAGGGAGGGAAAGAAAGGAAGGGAAGAAAGGAAGGAAGGAAGGAAGGAAGGAAGGAGGGAAGGAAGAAAGAAAGGAGGGAAGGAAGAAAGAAAGGAGGGAAGAAAGAAAGAAAAGAAAAAGATAGTCAGATACCGGGGCTCACACCTGTAATCTTAGCTACTTAGGAGGCTGACATCTGAGGATAATGGTTCAAAGCCAGCCCAGATAGGAAAGTCCATGAAACCCTTATCGCTAATAAACTCCCTCAAAACTGGAAGTGGAGATATGGCTCAAGTGTTAGAGCACTACTTTGGCCAAAAGAAGCTCAAGGACAGCAACCAGGCTGTCCTTGAGTTCAAGTCCTTGAACCAGAAGAAAAAAAAAGATAAATTTAACTGGATTAAAAATAAGAATATCTGATCTGAAAGCATGGATGAAGTAGAAGACTGCTTGTCTAGCAAGTATATAGAGTTCAAACCCCAGTACCACCACACACAAAAAAGGACACTTCTAGGGCATGAAAAGATGAGTATAAAAGAAGAGAGGGGACATAGGCCACACGTTTAGCCATCAGGAATTAATGTCTAGAATATATAAAGGACTCTTGCCAATCAATGAGATAAAGATAAACCACTCAATAAAAAATGGCAAATTATTTAAGTACTTCACAAAACCTCTAAACGGCCAAAACAAATGAAATTATTTCAATCTCATTAGCAATTATGAAGCCACATGAAAAATTATAATACCAAATACTGGCCATAATGTGAAGCAACAATTATATATTGATGGTAAGAAATTAAGTTGGTACAAAAATCTTTAGAAAACTATTTGGTAGACTCTACTAAAATTGAACACATGGATTCCTATGATGCAACAATTATAGGAAGTGATTTAATATCTAAACCTACACAGTAAGGTGCCCCATATGAAATCATTAATATTTAATGTTTGATCCACAAACATCAAATAGGCAATTTCCTATGGTTCATCTAAAGTATATCTAATAGAAATGCCTGCAATAAAATACAAGTTCAAGAATATCCTAAGTGATGTTATTGTAGTTGTCCCAGATTGGAAAAAGCAAAACATTCATTATCAGTAAAATAATAAACAGTGGTACATACAATGAAAAACTACATACTAACGAGAGAACTATAGCTATAAATGTAATTATTAAAATACTGAGTGAAAGATTAAGACAAACACACACACACAAATAAATACAACATAATTCAAGCAAAACTAACTTAAATCATTTAAGAGATGCATGTAAAAATGGCATATCAAAAGCCAAAAGCCAAAATATTATTACCATGTAAGTCAGCAGAACCTGCCTCTGAAAGGGGAATGTGAGCATGATCCAAAACAATTCTTGGAAAAGTTTGGGTGCTGGGAATGTTTGATTATCTGACCTTGGGTGGTGGTTTACACTGGCATTTTCTCTATTATAATTATTATTGATTTATTTTATATTTACATTTTGCAAATATTTAGGTTTATAGGTTTTTCATGACTAGAGAGTTTTTTTAAGTGCAATGAGAGCAACTTGCTCATTGCTAGCTTAGAGTAAACTCTGTTCTTTCCCAGATTCCATCTCGCAGCAGTGTTCTCATTCTCTGCAAGCATGATTTGTAAAAAAGATTTCAGTCTCACATCTGTCTCTGCATATGGGCTATTCCTCCAGGGGAGAGAAAGCACACTGAGAATTGACGTCAGACCCAATTCCATTCTGCAGAACTCTCTAAAAATGATGCTCGGCATAAACACTTCAGGAAGTAGCCTTTTTTTGCCTAAACACCCACTTTGTAGCTCCCAAGCACTGTAAGAACATGAAGCAAGTTTTTAAAAGCTTTTATGATGCTTCTATTAAACAGAATGAGCAAAAAAGGAGATTCTTATGCTCTCAAGTGAGCCCTTGGTATTGATCTTTCAATTCTTGATCTCAGCCTGGCCTTTTCTAGACAGGCACAATACCAGTCTCACAGGGAGATTGTGTGTTAGGCACACAGTCTTCTGCAGATGTGGGTGGTTAACTATTAATACCCAATTCTACCATTCATCTTAAGTGTGTACTCATCACAGCTCTGTAAGTAAGTTCCATTTAAAATTTAGATACTAAAGCAAAATTATATTAATTGAGATACTAATACATTAAAATGTAACTTCTATTTCATCCTTTGGGAAGTAACTGCTAAAAATTAAAGTACATATGAACAAAGGCTTCCAGAACACACTGGTTAGGTATAACTCAGGACAAGTTCTTCTTTAGAGGAAAAATAAGGTGATTAGAAAAGGAGTTTTAAGTCAGCAGGTCTTGACAAAGTCTGGATTCTGTCACAAACTAGCTCTTATTTATATCTTGAATACTTCTGTAACTTAAATATGTACCTCAAAAAGCTACAATAAGGGAATTAGAGCTGTGGCTCAAAGCAGTAGAACCCTAGCCTTGAGTGCAACAGCTCAGGGATAGTGCCTAGGCCCTGAATTCAAGTCCCATGACCAATAATCCCCTCCCCCGTGAAAAAAAAAAGGAAGAAAAGAAAAAGAGGAAAAGTTTAGGGGCTGGGAATGGGCCTCAGGGGTAGGGTGATTGCCTAGCATGCATGAAGCCCTGGGTTCGATTCTTTAGTACTACATAAACAGAAAAGGCCTGAAGTGGCACTATGGCTAAAGTGGTAGAGTGCTAGCCTTGAGCAAAAAAAGCTCAGGGACAGTGCCACCCAGGCCCTGAGTTCAAGCCCCAGAACTGGCCAAAAAAAAAAAAAAAAGAATTATATGAGATGAATCATTTAAATAAAACTGCCAAACAGTAAAGGATTATTTATACAAATAGCTGAAATATCAGAAGGAATATCTGACCAGCTGCCATTCAAAGCCAGCCAAGGCAGATAAGTTTGTGAAACTCTTATCTCCAGACAACCATCAAAAACCAGAAGCAGAGCTGTGGATTAAGTGGTAGAGAGCAAGCCTTGAACAAAACAGTCATGTGAAAGCTTGAGGCTCTGAGTGTCTGCAGAGAAACAAAGCAGAGAGGGGAGGAGGGGGGAGAGAAAGAGTGTGTGTGTGTGTGTGTGTGTCTAAGGATTGGCAAGGGATAACCCAAATGAGGAAAAGCTGGATCGCGTGCAACCGAAAAGGTAATACTTTAAAGAGTCGTTGTATGCTAATAATCTCAGCTATACTGGAAGCACAGTTAGGAAGACCATAGCCCAAGGATGGCCCTGAGCAAATAGCACAAGACCCTATCTGAAAAATGACTGAAGCCAAGGGCTGGAGGCCTGGCCCAAGTGCCTTAGCAACCCCAATGGCCCTGACTTCACAACCAAGCATTGCCAAAACAAAACAAAAAAAACCAATTGTTTAAAAAAAAGAGAGACAAAGAAAAAGAAGCAAAAGAGGGCCCTATACTAACTCCCCTGGCGAGGGGAAAGCTGAAGCAACGACGCCAATCACTAATATAGTATCTAGATGTGCAAGGACAGAAAGTCTTCTTGAATTTTCATGCCTTCTTCTTTCTAATAAATCTCAAATCTACCTCAAAGGAAATTAATGACACCAAGATTTCCAACTGAGGAAACAGGGGAAGAGAGAACTATACCAAAGAATTGGTACACTTGAGGAGAAGACAGAAATTATCTTACAGACCAAGGCAAAAAGCAGCATGATGTGTGCAACCAATTGAAAGAAGGCCAACTTGGCTAGAGTGAATACTGAGAGTAAGGAGTTAGCTTCTGGAACATTCTCTGCTGCTACCTCACAAATTTTTACTTATCCTTCAGATTTTACCTAAAAATTATTTCCTTAGGAAAGACTTCACTGACTGCTTAAACTAGGATAGATCCACAGGTAACACATTCTCAGAGCAGCTAGAACTTCTCAAAACATTTCACAGGGGCTGGGAAGGTAGCTCAGTGGTAGAGAGCTTGTCTTGCATGCAAGAAGCCCTGGATGGGTTGGGAAGGTGGCTCAGTGGTAGAGCGCTTGGCTTGCATTCATGAGGCCCTGGGTTCAATTCCTCAGCACCACATAAGCAAAAAGAAAAGAGCCAGAAGTGGAGCTGTGGCTCAAGTGGTAGAGCGCTAGCCTTGAGCTGAAGAGGTGAGGGACAGCGCCCAGGCCCAGAGTTCAGGCCCCACCACCGCCCCCCCCCCAAAAAAAAAAAGAAAAGAAAAAGGTAGAAGATGTAAGAATAGAAG